TAATGTCATCTGCAACTATTTAACAAACACAAAAAAAAATTGGAAGGACTAATGATAATTGATTTGTATTAGAAAGTTGTCTTTTATTTTCCAATGCATTGCATCGAACATATGTTGATGTTCTTTTTAAAAAGAAAAAATCTTGATCTGCTTTTTTTTTTTTTTTTTTTCTAGGTTTATCAAGGCTTTGTCACAAGACAATTAAGAATACAACTTTTATATTGATTTTCTTCAGAAACTAAATAAATTGTCTTAGATTTGTAAAAGGTTCTAAAAAAATTAGGCTAGATTCACAAGTCATTTAGGATCTCTTTCTAGATCTTGCAATTTTTTTTAGTAAAGCTTATGCTGGTGGTACTTTTGAAATTCTAAAACTCTTGATTCTAATTTGGAAAACAAAACTAATTGATAACCTATGAATTTACATTAATAAAAACGATGCATATTGTAATAATATATATATTTTTTTTTGTCAAGAAGCTAGCCAAAACATATTATTGATCTGAAGTAGCTATTTTATATAAGAAAAGGAGAGGCACTGAAATGAACACGCTGCGTGGTCAATCCAAGAAATCATACAAGGAGTACAAAATTAATTCATAAACTATAGTAAAATCATTGGGATCTTATTTTGCATCCACCGAGCTTGTAGGGTGAGGATGTGGATGGAACCCAACTCCAAGAAATTCTTACTTTTTGTTTTATGATTTTTATCTTTTCAAAGTTATATAAATATAATTTACCAAATTTAAACGGGCATTCAAATAAATAAATATTTAATTTGTAGTTGACAACTAAATTCAGTGAATAATATGATGAAACATAAGCGTCCATCCTTTTTCTAGGTAAACATAATTTTGTTTTCCTAATATATTATAAGCATGTATAACTATTAACTTGTGACAGCAATTTTCTTTGTTGACTTCAAAGCTTAATTCGAGCCTAAGCTTAAGTATCGTGCTAGGAGTTTAATTTGTTGACTTCAATGTTTCATAAACATGGTGAACCATTATAACATGTGTTTCTTCATTATATTCCTAAAATTAATCTCACATGGTTAGAGTGTAATATCATCCAAGTATAGATGTATATTTTCAAAAGTCTTTCTTTGACGATAAAAAAATAGTCTGTCTTAGATTTGAATAATATCGGCATTAGCCACTATTGGTCGTTGTTTATTATGGGATACTTAATTTTGCTAAATCTTTCTGAACCTGTACGAGATAAGCGAAAAAGCCATGAACCACGGTCACGCGTGTCTCGCACTTCCCAACCTTCACCATGCATGCTCTCACTAAAGCCTGTCTTTTTTTTTTACTTTACATATTTTAAAATCATAATACCATAATTTGCACTAACTAGTATGGTAAACCCGTTTATGATATACTCAACTTAGTTGTCAATTTAATCCGTAAGACATAGATTTAGGAAAGAATTCAATTATTTTTGAAGTTATGGTAATAACTCAAATTCTATTTCCTGCCTTGAATAACACTTAGTACAATATCAAAAACATATCTCTTAACTTAATTACATGATATGCAGAATCATCTACATAAACACTTTCTCATTTTTATCCATTTAAAAAAAATTCTAACCCTCTTGCCTTTTCAATTGATTATCACTAAACAAAAAATATTATTCCCACAGTCAAAAGAAGCCAAACCGATTAAAAAAGTGGCGCGTGATTCTCACGCTCAAATGACCGATCGGTTCCACTGAATTTTCTCAGAGATTCTCTTCTGAAAATGTTTTTTGTTTTTTTTTTTTTATGTCAAAAGAAAAAACGAAAAAACTTTGCCAGAAATGATAAAAAATTTGGAAAAGAAAATTCCATAAATGAGGTAATTGGGCAGTCTTGAAGAACAACATCACAGAGTTTTCAGAAACCAAACCATATATAGGCTTAGATTCTCTTTTGCCATCTTCCTCCTTTTGCTCTGCCATAAAACTTTTGTCTCTTTCTCTACTAATAATAATCCTAACGTTGTGTGTTCTTCTACTTCAATTCCTAATCTCTGACGACGATGACTTTGGAACAAGAAATTGAAGTCTTGGACCAGTTTCCGGTGGGGATGAGAGTTCTTGCTGTTGACGATGACCAGACTTGTCTCCGTATTCTCCAGACTTTGCTTCATCGCTGCCAATATCACGGTTTGGTTCCTTCTCTCTCTCTCCTTGTTTCTTTACCAAATTGTTCATGTTTTCTAGATTTATGGATTTGGTTATCTACAACATCTTATTAAGCTACAAAATTTATCCTCAGATTCGTTTCTTGTCATAAGACTATAAGTTGATTCCTCTGTAGATTATATGTTTTTAAAGACGAGCTTAAAAAATCAATTAAGATTATTTAGCTAGATTCACTCTCTGCATTTTTTTTTTTTACTTTTAAAAATCCATGCTTCAGATTTTATTGCTTCACATGTGGTTCCAAAGCTCATTGGTTCTTGCTTTTGAGGTCGTTGGATTTGAAACAGTCTCTTGTTCTGTAAAAATTGAGACTTTGGGGAATTCTTACATATTTGATTGCTCCACTTGTGTCACAGAGCTCATTGGTTCTTACTTTACTTTTTTTGAATGAGTAAAAACTGAGACTTTGTGGTTAATTGTAACTATTATAATGTGCAGTTACAACAACGAACCAGGCACAGACCGCATTGGAGTTGTTGAGGGAGAACAAGAACAAATTTGATCTCGTTATTAGCGATGTTGACATGCCAGACATGGATGGTTTCAAGCTGCTTGAGCTTGTTGGTCTTGAAATGGACTTACCTGTCATAAGTATGAAGCTTTCCTTGTTCTTGTTCGTTTAATTCCATCGACCTTTTCATAGTTCCTAGAGAAAGTTTTGATCTTTAGACCGACTTGACTACTTGAGTTTTTAATATGATGATTGATTCTTGCAGTGTTATCTGCGCACAGCGATCCAAAGTATGTGATGAAAGGAGTCAAGCACGGTGCCTGCGACTATCTGCTTAAGCCGGTTCGAATTGAGGAGCTTAAGAACATATGGCAACACGTGGTGAGAAAGAGCAAACTTAAGAAGAACAAGAGCAGTGTGAGTAATGGTGCAGCAAATTCTGATAAAGCAAACAGAAAACGTAAAGAACAGTATGAAGAGGAGGAAGAGGAAGAAAGAGGGAATGAAAACGATGATCCAACGGCACAAAAGAAACCTCGTGTTCTTTGGACGCATGAGCTGCACAACAAATTCCTAGCAGCTGTTGATCATTTGGGAGTTGAGAGTAATGTTTCTTGATCTCTCTACCTCTAGTTTTCAATTAGCTGTGAATCATGTTCTGATTTAAGTATTGATGATGCAGAAGCTGTACCAAAAAAGATTCTTGATCTGATGAATGTTGACAAACTCACTAGAGAAAATGTTGCAAGCCACCTTCAGGTGAGAGTTAGACTATGATTCTTCTTATTTGATTTGTTAGTGTTAATATTATTCCGTTAAAGACAATTGCAATGTCTTTTGGTTGCAGAAATTCCGCGTTGCTTTGAAAAAGATGTCTGATAAAGCCAATCAACAAGCTACCAGGGCGGCGCTTGAGTCACATTTGATGCAAATGAGTTCTCACAAAGGACTTGGCGGCTTCTACCACCACCGCGGAATACCTGTTGGAACCGGTCAGTTTCATGGTGGAGCCACAATGATGAGACATTACCCTTCAAATAGGAATCTTGGTCGTCTAAATTCCCTTGCAGGAGGAATGTTTCAACCAGTCTCATCATCGTTTCCTCGTAACCACAATGATGGAGGAAATATACTTCAGGGATTGCCACTTCCGCCACTAGAAGAGCTTCAGATCAACAACAACATCAACAAGGCTTTTCCAAGCTTTACCTCACAACAAAACTCTCTAATGGTTGCTCCCAATAATCTCTTACTTCTCGAGGGTCACCAGCAGTCATCATCGCCGGGATTTTCTCCTCACTTCGAGATGAACAAGCGTCAAGAACATTGGTCAAACACTGTATTGTCAACCAACATTCCACATAGTGATGTTCATTCAAAACCTGACAACTCGGATTGGAATGCATTCTGCGACTCAGCCAGTCCGCTAATAAACCAAAACCTGGATACAAATACGACATCTTTCTGCAGAAACACGGATTTCAGATCAACAAATGCTGCACAAACAGACTTCTTTTATCCATTACAGATGAATCAGCAGCCTACAAACAACTCAGGTCCAATGACAGAAGCTCAACTGTTTAGAAGTAGCAATCCAAACGAAGGTTTACTCATGGGACAACAGAAGATAAAGAGTGGTTTCATGGCTTCTGATGCTGGTTCCTTAGATGATATAGTCAACTCTTTAATGACACAGGTATAAAATAAAACCGTTTACTTTGCTTCCTTTTTCACTTGAAGATTTCTGAAGATTGTCTCTTTGAATGCAACAGGAACAGAACCAATCTGATTTCTCAGAAGGTGATTGGGATTTGGATGGTTTAGCTCACTCTGAACATGCATATGAGAAACCCTATTGTCCCTTTTCTTTGTCAGCTTGAGAAACTGTTTTATTCAGACACAAATCAATTATTATTATCTTTTGGTTCTGTCTCTTCTCTCTTCTTTGTAATGAAACTGTAAGCTCTTGTTTACATCTTCCCCAATGATTTGAGCTAACTTTTTTTTTTGGTAGGATGATTTGAGCTAACTTTGGAAGATCCAAAATCCATAAATAAAATTCAAAGTGGCCTCTCTCTTTGCTACTAATGTTAAGATGTCTTGAAGAGGATGGCAAAGTCTTGGTGTCTAAAAGTGTAAAGTACAAAATAAAGTTAAAATCTAAGTAGTACAAATCATTGTACTACCAGCCTAAATCGGCCCCATATGCCCAATAACCTTGGCTTAGGTGTCAACCACCAACATTGGCGAGCTTAAGACAAAAGTCTACAAAGAAACATATAACTTTATAATTATTTATCCAGAAATGCAGGACGCAAATAAAGCCTATCACGAAAATAAAAGTGAAAACGACAAATACACAAAGCAGAGAGATGTCATTAATTATACATCATCATAACCCAATTACAATAAAGTGTCTTTAGCGCACACGCATGCATATAGAGGAGCCATGATCATACTATATACTAACACAAAATAAGTTACAAACATTCTACTAATTTAATTAATTATCACCAGCTAATATATTAGCAATCAAGGAAATGATCTGAAAAATCATTAACATCTCTTGGGTCCAAACCAATCCTCACAAGAACACCTTTAGCATCTTTAGGGTTCTTCATGAAATAAGCAACTTGTGGCACAGGTGGACACAGTGGTGCCACGTAATCCGCTGGCTCCCCGCCGTTGCCAAAGCCAACATTATGAAATGGCATTTTTGTCCAGTCGGAGATTAGGGTTAGCTCTTTGAGAGGAGGGAGATTTCCGTCATTACTTTGATCACCACCTCCGAGTGCTTCCATGTAAGAGTTGATGTAATCTTGGTCAATTGACTTCTTGGCTTCTCTAATCTTGTTGACTATTGACTCGAGTGTTAGTTCTTCGAGTAATTCTCTGGTGGTGGATGCCACCGAGGCAAGCACATAGGCGTTGCCGGAAAATCCTTCTGGCAGCGGCCGCTCCGTCCTCTTCCTTATGTCCACCGCGAATTGTAGACACACCATGGCGTCTCTCCTCAACCCTAAAGCCCTTGTTCTTGCCTGCAAAATTACACGGTTAATATTAATGTTCCTTGTAATTGTAATGGCTACAATACTATTTTTTCAATTTTTTATATAAAATATTTGTTCATCATTATATGTTTTAAAAAATTAAAAATCCAAACGTAAAGCATAAACTTAAGTTTGTATTTCATTTCGCTTGCGTTTTTTGATTTTACAAATAAAATTTACGTGAAAACATTTAATTGTGGTTTCACTTGAGAAAACACACTATTATTATGTCAGAGCAAATATAAACGCAGTAAAACAATCAAGACCAACATTTTAATTATCAACCTAACAAATAAATATCTAGTGAAAATTATATAATGGTTACTGAATTTACCTTCCACAAATGAGCAGCAAGAAACTCAAAGGAGGAGCACAAGAACCCTTCTAGTGATTTCTTCTTCATGCTTTCTATCGCTTCGCCATTAAGCTCGAACGTTTTGATCACAAAACCAGAGTCTGGTAACTCAAATTTACGGTTTTGCTCCTGATGAGTCATCATCGCCTGTTTGATCAACTGGTACAGATGACAAATGGCTGCAGCATTGGTTACTCGGATAGCGTCCCCGTTCAACAGTAGATTTCCTCGATCATGAACCGGTTTGATGACCAAATTATCCTTTTTATTAGTAATCTTGCCATTGGATTTGTTGTCAATGTGAGAGTTGAAAGCCCACGCGTGAATGAATTCGTAAGCTGAGATTCCATCAAATAGTGAGTGGCTTGTACCGATTCCAATTGAGTAACCTCCACATGCAAATCTTGTCACCTACATTTATTATACGTCGATATATCATCAAATATTGATTCAAACACTACCCGTTTCTCAGGCGTTTCATAACTTTTTTATAAAAAAATATATAATTATAAATGATCTTTTATAAATTTAGCGAATCTATATATTTTTAATGCTTTAATTTGTATTCTTACTAATAATCAATTTAGCTTAGCATACACATAAACTAAAAAAAAAACATCCAAAACTTTAATTGCAGTAAAAGTGTATTATATATTTTTAAAAATATTAGCGTATAAAGGTTTGCTTAGAATTTATGTTCTATTTGAATTTGATCTCAAAATTTCTTATTATATGTCAATTCAGCTAATGAATGTTTGTGCTTAGGTTTAATCTAGCTGGCAATGAGTCATATTGATGAAAACTGTAGGCCTCTAGTGAAGTACGTATATAATTAAATATTGATATGTAGATATACTAAGAAACGTATAGTATTTGCAAAAAATTTACCTGAGCAACAACAAGAGGCATCACAGAGAAATCACCATCAAAGGAAGGCTTGTAAACCAAAGTCTCATAAAAATCATTGTACTGAGTCAAATCACCAAGCTCGGACAACTTGACACCTGTCGCCACCGCCTCCACCATGACTGCGCCACCATCATTACACCGGATGTTGAGCTTGCAGCCACCTCCGTCCAAGCCCAGCCTCCCTGCCGCGGGATACCACACAGAAAGAGTCTCCTCCAGCCCGAGCTTCAGGTCGGAGAAGACGGAGTCAAAGTCACGAGTTGTGGTATTCTTGTAGAAGAAGACCGAGTACATGAGTAAAGGACATTGACGGTCCAAATTGGAGAGAGTGATTAGTTTCTTCTTGTCATGGTCTTGAAACCTTGGATATACATTAAGCTTTTGGATTATATCGATACCTGTCGCCATTAACATGTGCATGTGTGTATAAGAGTTGAATGTGAAATGTAATAAGTAAGATGTGTAATGCCTATATATATACGAGAAGATAAATTAAAGGAGCTTAATCATATGCCAAGGAGCCACTCTATGCGTCTCTTCAGATAGTTTTGAGGGTCTATTTTTATTTTTATTAATACTCTAATTTTCATCGAAGTGCTCTATATGGCTTACGGATGATTAGTTTCAACACTAATTATCTTTTCCTTACTATTGGTGGTGTTATTATCATTTTGTTATTTAAATTCGAATACAAATGATTGTAAAGATACTTGCGTTTTGCATATTTTATGCTATTGTGATATCAAAAAGCAAAAGCCTATATGTGCTCTTTGGCATAGGCTTTAAATTAGGTTCACACACACATATCAATTTATTTGGAAATATTCGGAGACAAAAAAACACTAAACAAGAAGAGTTTTTACTTTTTATTTTCTTCGTGTCTTCATTAAGATCATATTTATGTGTGTTTTCACCTCAAATGTACTAATACTAGAATTTTGTGTAGATAACATAATTCAACTTAAAAATCTAATCTTATATTAGTTTCGATCGAAAAGTCTAGTATACAGTTGGAATATAGATATTTTGGTTGATAGTGAATATATATAGTAGAAGAGTAGTCATACTTGCACAATGTGTCAACAGGGTTTGGTGAAATGAAAACACTGTAGACAATCATACAAACAAACCCTACGACCTGCATCACGGGGATGCTATCCTCCGTAAGACCTTATCATGAACTTATTACATAATTGTTGCAGATAAAAAGCAACTACAGTGGTCTTCAATATAGCCTCGTATTGTTTCAACACAATATATGCGTTTACGTACATGAAAAATTAAATACTAAACAATTCACATCTTTACATTTAAGTTGAGTGTAAATATTATACTACAACATGTAAATGCAGACGCCAGAGTCAAACCAAAGAAACCTTCCGTTTATTTTTTTAGTGTTCACGTTTATAATTAGCAAATAAGTTCACATCTTGTGGGAGAATTTATAATTAGGGTAGGCCTTTAATTGGTTAGTACCATTTTAACACACAGAAAATAAAATCTTGTAACCAACCGACCAAAAACCAAACAATTTAAGGAGAAATGACACTAATCAATAATTGCCTCTAAATGTTTATTATTATCATTGATCATTCGGCCACATAAAGAAAACTAAATAAAAGTTCCCATTCGTAAGAAGGAAGCTTGCATTTAGGAGGCATATATCACAGCCTGGCTTGTCCCTTCGGTGTATATAACTTTGCAAAAAAAAAAAAAAAAACTTAGAAACATGCACATGTATAAGTATATCCAACTGATCGTTACCGTATCTATACGAAACGTACGGACTGAAATGCGTAAAACACGTGTATGCTGTATATATGCAGCTGGATTTGAGAATTAGTCTTATACTTTGAATTCAAGAAGCTAATATGTGCATCTATACAGATTTTGATATAGATGCTTATTTTGATTTACTAAGAAAAAAATTGTATACGCAAAGTAAAATTTGTATATGTAGAATGTATAATAGTATATTTTAATCTAAGATGAGTATATATGTATAACAGAGTAAAAGTGGAAAAGAGTGGAGAAGTAGGTATATGTTTGGGAGTTGGAGTAAGCGTGGATTTAAAGCCTCTCTTTTGTCTCCTCTTTCCCACCATTTTCCCTGCTTTCTGCAGCTCCTCTCTTTTCCTCTTTTCTCTTTTTGTATTTCCCATTTCTATTTATTTTGTTTCTTAATTTGATTACTATATCTTTACAAAGCCAAGACAAGAAAAATAAATGCGATCAAATCCAACCTAATTGATATGGCTCCATGTCAATCTAAATTAGAGAAATCAATACAGTATGTATCTTGAGTTTTGGGAGAGCTCAAAAGACATTTCTTTGGTTCGTTCACTTAAAAAGAAGATGATCATCAACCATGAATTCTTTTAAATCAAAAGACATGCAAGGATTAATTTTTGCATTAACAAAGAGATTAGTGGCAAAACTTTTTCTATGTTCTAGCTCGATGGTATTTGGATTTATTTCAAGTTGTGGATAATTGCTAAACATATCCAGAGTATAGATCTGGTTCTATTTTGGTCATATGTCAGCTTTATACTTGAGAAACTATAAAGAGACAAATTTGATTAAAAGATACTTTGCAACTCAAGAACTGATAAATCATACTAGATTGTTCCAAGATAAATGTATGCAAACAAATTCAGCAAACGGTAACTTAATTTAGCACATCTCTACTAAATTGAGAAAAGTAATTAATATCCAGCCAACTCCCAAACAGTAATGAAAGAAGTAACAATGATGCTTGATGTATGAATCAATCCAACACAATAACGTTATCCGCTGCATCCATCTCAACATCATGATCTGTCCCGGCGCTTCTGGAATGACTCCCCTTCAGCATTCGAGTCAGCGGTTGACCATTGAAATATGTCTGGAATGACTCCCTTGAGTTCTCATTAACTCTCTGGAAATGTGCGGAGAGAGAGATAAGTTAAAATGTGTTCTTAATGTAACTTTATATCCACGAAAAATAGAAAGGTGTGTACCTGATTGTATGGTTGAGCCACTTCAACCCTAGCTTGCTTGTTGTTAACGGCAGCTGCAGAAATTTCTTCTGATACTGCAAGATTAAAACGTCCCAGCTAGAACCAAAAATATGAAGAAATCTATCCATTTGGAACTGTAGAAACTTATCACGACACATACCGATGGGATCATTCTTAGGCAGTCCATCAAGCATTTCTTTGTCCGCATCTACAAAGCTTGTTCCCGCTGTATCCATCACCTTTTTTGCTTTTGCTTGTTCCTTCTCTATATATTCCTGCAACCAAAAATCTATAGAGATGAACAAATGTAGCAAGTAACAAGTGAAGACAAAAAAAGATTAATAATAGTGAGTCAGCACAAAAACGTTACGTACTGCGTACTCTTGCATCAGCGCGGCTTCCAGAACCGTAACCCGTCTTCTCACTTTGTCGCTTAATTTTCCCCTAATAATTTTTATTAGACCTTTGTCAACAGCAGCATTATTATTCTCCGCCATACCAGTTTCGTTATTCAGACTACTGTCTGTTTGTTCACCACCAGACAAACTTTTGTAAGGGAAAGGGTAGCCCCAACGTCTGCAGAGAGCCTCTTCGACCGGCCTGAATTCTTCATCATCAATGATTTTCAGCCATGATCCATGCCCATGCCTACATTTTATAAAGTTTTCACAAGGTTAAAGCAACATAGGAGCAAGCGAGTGAAAAACATTGCATGTAAGGATCATCTTTGAAGGGTTCTTACTTGAAAACACCACGGACCAGTATCTTGTCATATTCGATTTTCTGCCAAAATGTTCGTTTTGACTGGAACGATCGGTAGATGTGGGCAGGGGAAACATCTTTTGTAGGATTGTCTTCTAAATACTTACACTGTCGTCACATCAAAAACTTAGTATTAAGCTCAAACAAACAATAGCGGCAGAAGCCCAATTTTATATCAAACAAGAAGCTTATAGAAACCACAGACCAAAAGTGAAAATATTAAATAAGATTTGGAAGTCATGGTAAATATTTATATATGAAGTAGAAATAACCAAGTGTTAATATACCTTCTCCTTAAATAGCAAAAGAAGAGCAATCCTGACACGTACATCGTCAGGTTTGTCATTTTCTATAGGGACTCCATCTGCAGAGATCATAAGATACCAAAAAAAAAACAATGGAATTCTGTAAAAATGGCAACAAACAAATGACAAGAGATACGTTATAAATCACCAGAAAACGTTTGAGAACTATCTCCAATATCTTCGGACATATGCTTGAGAAAGAGTATGCCATAACTAAGAAACAAACAAGAAGTTAGTGAAAAACATATTGGTTCTTTGCAAAGAACAAATGATAAGAGAAGAGCATAAATACGCTTTTATCTCGTCAAAGGGCTTGAGCTTGAAGTGAGGAACAAACTTCTTCCAATCATTGTTGTCAAGTCCGTACCTACAAAATTTGTTTTGAAGATACTGATGAGGATACAATTCTGATGTTTTGAGAGACACCAGTGCACAAATTTAGACAACATTATTTTTCTCTATGAGACCTTATCAGAAAGAAGATATACCTCATAAACGTATACGAAAATCTTTTCCTTTCATCTTTGTCAAAACCCAGCACCTTGAGAGATTCCCCTTCGCCTTCCATCAAAGGTCTTGGCCCTGAGTGATCTTACAGAAAAATATTCAAAAGATTAAGCATTGACATAACTGGGAACCTTTTGACACCAATGATGTCTCAATGATATATTGGGAAATGTTATAATTAAAGAATAGTACGGCGAGCCCTTTTTCTGTAAGGCTTTGTAACCGTCCTCGGCTTTCTCTTTCGAGCTGCTTTAACAACAGTTGGCTCGGCGTCATCTGCTTCCTCCTTCTCATCAGAGGTCACTTCTAAATCATCAAGATAATCTTCCTCCTTCCCATCAGAGGTCACTTCTAAACCATCAAGATCATCTTCTTCAAGATACATCACCTAATAAAATTAACAAGAAGAGGAATAAGAACATCTTTGCTAAAGGATATGAAACGATTCTGGAGAGGTTGGAACAAGAAGAGTATACCAGCTGCTTGCCGTTTCGCTTCCTCTTTGCAAGAGCATTGGGCTCCTCGGCTTGTTGCACTTCATATTTGTCTTTTAGCAACTCTTCCCAATGACTTGTTCTATCTGAAGATTTGTTTTCTATAGCTTGTGCCTCCTCTGATGCTGCAGTTACTCCTTGTGCCTCCTTTAATGCTGCAGCCTCATTTTCATTTATATACCCAAAACTGGCCACCTAATATTATACAGGACATAAGTCACATAACATCAAAAAGAGAAATTATGTATGGAATTAATGCCACTAAATATCAATATATAACTTAATTGCAGGAAACAAAAAGGGTTTATATATATGCATGCACACAAGATGATTTTTGTAGCACAACCATGTAATTTTATAATATTACTCTCTCAACACTTTATCACTTATTCGAAGGAGATTTATCTGAACAGAGATATACCTGGTTACTTCCGACTGTTCTTTCAACTTGTTGTTGAACAAAGTCTTCATCGAAATCGTCTTCTGTATTAAGTGGATCTGGCCCGGTTCGTAGACGAAGCCAGCTTTGCACCCAATTAGCCATCTCTCTGCATGAAAAAACCACAACAATATTTTCGGTCAGTAAATTCATAAATATTTAGATAAATCGTATAACAATAATCTACCTTAAAGAATGGAAAAAACAAGAGGATCAAGTGCAACGAATGATTTTAGAAAATCTAAGACGAAGGAGGAGCGTACGAAATGAAGCAAATGCAAAAGGAGCTAAAACGCAAGAGGGTGCATCTAATCTTACGGATACGACTAAAACGTCTATTTATGATTTTATATAGAGAGAGGGAGTGGTCATATGATCTTTTTAATTTTGTTTTATGAAGATAACTCTACCTTTTTTGCCAATCTCAGTGTAAAGATGAATTAATTTGTAACCAGAAGGGGGTGCCCGATGCTGTTGTGGTTGTCACAAATTTATAGAAGTGAGTATTAGTGGTTTTTGTGAATGGCAAGGTAACGAAAACCGTTAAGATTTCGCGGCAATTTTGATATGTCAATGAGAAGTTCGGTAATGATTTAAAGTAAATTTATTAAAGTAACCAAACATTGAATAACCAAATATGTAAATATCATAAAAACAAAAAAGTTATTTTATTTTATTATAAAAAAGTTGATGTGATTTATTAAGTTTCCTTGACACTGGTCAAACTATACATTTATATTTAATTTACATTTATGTACATAATTAACATAATATACGTATTTTGGGAAGAAAATAATTTAAAGTTTTTTTTATTTAAGATTCATTTTCTGAATGGGTTGACCAAAAAAAAAAAGATTTAATTATCTCGTTAGTATCTAAAGATAATTGTCTGAAAACAATAAATGAAACTATAATAAAAAAAAATCTATTCAACATGTAAAGAAGCATTCAAAAATGGAAAGTATGAAAAAGGTTATAAAAGATGAAGGAAATAAAGAGTAGATTCATTGACTTCAGATTTAAAAAAAAAAAATTAACATTATCTTGACCACAAAACAAAATTAGTCGTCCGTTACAAATTGGAAAGAGATTTGCTTGTGAGTTGTGACCAATAGTATGAAGATGGTTTACTTAGTTTTCCAATACTTTAGAGACAAATGGCCCAAACTTTGTCTTTGTTAGATGTTTTAAGAGGTCAACGTTTCAATTATGGATATTGAAATATTATTAACTAATAAAGTATGTATGACTGGCAAATTAAGTGAAACAGTTATTGTGGTGTGGCCCTGATTTAAACTAAAATTAAGAAAAAAAACTATATATGTAACGTTGGTGCGGTTTACGTATGACCGTGTTGTAATTGTATTCACTAGATTACAGTTCTTATCAAAATGTCTCGATGAACTAGAGTTTTTCTTATCTTAATTTAAGAAATTTAGTAACAAAATATATCCTAATTAATTTGAATTTTTCTATTAAAAATTATTATTTTTGATTTTTAACAGGCTAGCAAAAACAAATGTATAAATTAACAAGAACACAAAACAAATGTATAAAGTAACAGGAACATTGATGAAAAAAAAAAAAAAAAAAAGTAACAAGAACACAATAGAAGGCCCAACTAGGGAAGAGAGGCCCATCCTGATGAAACTGAAGCATTTCCCATGGCTTCTAGAGTCTTCAAGGTTGAGCAAACGAGTTAGTAAATCATTGAGCAGAAAGTAGGAGATTAGCGCGAGAACCACTATTGGATCATTGTCGATGATTGAATAGGATTCTGTTATCACAAGCTAGAGATTTTACTAGTTAATAGAAACTTTTACTAAACAGAGTATAAGATCTGGTTCTATTTTGGTTCATATACGCTTCATACCTAAGAAACTATAAAGAGACAAATATGATTAAAAGATACTCTGCAACTCAAGAACTGATAGCAATTATATTAGGTTGTTCCAAGATAAATATGCAAACAAATTCAGTAAAAGGTAACTTAATTTAGCCCATCTCTGCTAAATAGAGAAAAGTAATTAAAATTCAGCCAACTCCCAAACAGTAATGAATGAAAGAAGTAACAATGATTCTTGATGTATGAATCAATCCAACAAAATGACGTTATCCGCTGCATCCATCTTAACATCATCTTCCTTCACAATGCTTCGTTCTTCAACCAAGTCCTTCATCTCAACATCTTGATCTGTCCGGGCGCTTAAGCTCCTACTTATTCTTTCACTGATACGTTCCAGAGGTATAAAGCTCTCCCTCAGCATTCGAGTCAGCGGTTGAATGTTTAAATATGTCTCGAATGGCATCCCTGAATTCCCATAATTAACACTCTGGAAATGTGTGGAGACAGAGAGAGATATGTTAATATGGGTTCTTAATGTAACTATCCGCGAAAAGAGAAAAGTGTTACCTGATTGTATGGTTGAGCCACTTCAACCCTAGTTTGCTTGTTGTTTACGGCAGCTGCAGAAATTTCTTCTGAAACTGCAAGATTAAAAGTTCTCAGTTATAACCAAAATCTATCCATTTGTAACTGTAGACACTTGTCACGACACATACTGATGGGATCATTCTTAGGCAGTTCATCAAGCATTTCTTTGTCTGCAGCTGCAAAGCTCGGTCCCGCTGTATCCATCATCTTTCTTCTAGCTTCTGCTTGTTCCTTATGTACATTTTCCTGCAACCAAGTATCAATATAGATGAACAATGTAGTAGTAACATGAGAAGACAAAAGAGTAACATTAGTGAGTCGGCACAAAATGTTACGTACTGTGTACTCATACTTGATCGCATCCTCCATCTTCTTAAACCGTTTTCCCACATGGTCACGAATTCTTATAAGAGAAATTTCAGCATCTGTGTAAGGGAAAGGGATATTCAGGTCTTTTCGGGCAACCTCTTGGAACCCTATCTCTTCGTCTTCAACGACGGCCGTCCAGTTTCCATATCCATGCCTATATATTTTACCAAGTTTCAAGAATGGAAGCAACATGCATGTGAGCAAACAAACAAGAGAGAAAAATTCAAGTAAGGATATCTTTGAAGGGTTCTTAGTTCTTACTTGGCAACAGCAGGAATCAATATCCTATCATGTTCTTCCTTAGAAAATGCTCCACTTCTCAAATTGTACTTTCTGATGCTGTAGTCACGGAAAACGGGTTCTGTCGGATGGTCGTCCAAAAATTGACACTGTCACATCAAACATTGAGAAGTGAGCTCAAACAAACAGGAGCGGACCACAGGCAAAAGCGACAAATGTTTTTAAAAAGCTAGGAAAGAATGCAATGAATCTTCTCAAGCTTTTGTTCTAACCAAGTTATGACCACGGTTACTAGTGCTAATAACTAACTCTTTAATCACTGGAAAATGGTAGGCTTACCTTCTCCTTTAATAGCATCATAAAAGTCATGCTCATTAGTAGCTCGTCACTTCTTATCCCTTCTTTCGGAATTCCATCTGCAGAGACCATTGCCGAAATAACTTAAAAATAGGATAACAGAAATAAGCAAATGGATATATCTAAACAGAAAAATACCTGAAAAAGTTGAAGAATTATTCTTAGAGTTTTCGGCAATGTGTTGCAAAAACAATATTCCATACCTAAGAAACAACAAATTTAACAAGTGTTAATGAAAAACTATTGGTTTTTGTAAAGCAGCTGGAAATAAGAGCATAAATGGCTTAAATCATTACTTATTTATCTCGTCAAAGGTCTTCATATGTAAGGGATGAATAAACTCCTTCCAATCAAAGTTTCCAGCTCCATACCTACAAAAGTTGTTTTGAGACAGTACTTATGATACACTATGATGCTCTGAGAGACGACATTATTATTTTCATTTTTTGTCAAGAAGACCTTATTAGAAAGAAGATATACCTCTTAAACGTACGTAAAAAGATTTCCCTTTCAGTCCTGTTAAAACCTAGCACCTCGAAAGATTTCCCTCCGCCTTCCATCACAGGTAACTCCGATTTATCTTACAACAAAAAAAGATTTTTTGAAAATTACTTAACTTGGGAACCTTTGAAAACCAACAAGATGTCATCGTCAATGCTATATTTGGAAAATTATAGTACCGCGATTCCTTTTTCTGTAAGGCTTTGTAACCGTCCTCGGCTTTCTCTGTCGAGCTGCTTTAACAACAGTTGGCTCGGCGTCATCTGCTTCCTCCTTCTCATCAGAGATCACTTCTAAATCATCAAGATAATCTTCCTCCTTCTCATCAGAGGTCACTTCTAAACCATCAAGATCATCTTCTTCAGCATACATCACCTAATAAAATTAACAAGAAAAGGAATATGAACATCTTTGCTAAAGAATATGAAACGATTCTGGAGAGGTTGGATCAAGAAGAGTATACCTGCTTGCCGTTTCGCTTCCTCTTTCCAAGAGCATTGAGCTCTTCGGCTTGTTGCACTTCATATTTGTCTTTTAGCAACTCTTTCCAATGACTTGTTCTATCTGAAGAATTGTTTTCTATAGCTTGTGCCTCCTCTGATGCTGCAGCCTCATTGTCATCTATATACTTAAAAGTGGCCACCTAATATACATCACATAACATCAAAAAGAGAAATTATATTTGGGATTAATGCCACTAAATATGTATCAATATGTAACTTAATTGCAGGGGAACAAAAAAGGTGTATATGCATGCACAAAACAAGATAATTTTTTTATCAGATCCATGTAATTATTACTCTCTCAACACTTCTTCACATATTAGAAGGAAATATATATGAACCTTAAGCAACTGATCAATAACCACTCATCCAAAAGAAACAAAAAAAAAAAAAAAAAAAAAACTAGTAAACAGAGAAAGAGAAAGAAGAAAACCTTGAAATTCTTTAAAAAACCATTATCCTCCTCATCATCCAGTGAGACCTCCTTAGCATCTACATGATCACGGTCAAGCAACCTGCAGAAGAAAAGGTGGATATAAATCATGAACATTCCATGAAATGCCTTGAGCTACTAAAGTAGAATCACTAAGAGAGTAAAAACAAAGAAAGCAAAAGAATATCTTACTTTTCAATAGCAGCATCATCATAATGGATTTTTCCAGACTTCCCTGCTTCATCATTCTCTTCAGAGAAAAGCTCCTTGGAACCATATTTGATGATGTCATCTAACACGTCCTAAATTACAGTCAGGGAAAGAAAACAGTCATTAAACCTTGTCGCAGTAAGAACCAATATGCATGTAAACAATAAATTCATACCTGCCGAAGATGTGGGTTTTCCATATTCCCCACTACGAGATGCTCTAGAAGCATCTTCTTCTTAGTAATCTCCACCATCCGCTCTTCCACCGTAGCTCGGTGAATGAGCCTGTAAATCATGACCTACAGAAGAAAATATAGGCTTAATCAGTGACAGAAAAAGAATGAAATAGCAAGTCGATGATCCCACATTGACGCCATGAAAAAATAACCTTATTTGTTTGGCCAAGACGATGAGCTCTAGCCATAGCCTGGAGATCAGCATGAGGATTCCAATCACTACAATAAAACCAGTGAAAAACATGTCGAAATACCATATTAACCAATTAAAAAAGAAAATATGTACTCAGCCCACATAAATGCTTAGTTGCTAATAAGTGAGAACGTTAGTTATGAGATATTGTGCCCCGGGTTAAAATATGTTCTGGATCCGCCCCTGCATGCCTCTACAATATATTTCTGCTATTAACTTAGAAGATCCCAAAAAACACTCTGTTATTTTGGAAACATATTTCCAACAAAGCTTTTTATCATTTCATCAAA